CCCCACCACACACACACACAATCATATGAATATGAATTCATACTGTAAGGATCTTACATTTCCCAATTGAGACTCTTAAGATAATGAAATCCCTTAAAAAAATTAAAATTTTCTTATCCTTCTTATCCTCATTGCCGGCTTGCAGCATGTGTATTATGCATTACACAGGGCCGTGATCCCCCCCCCCCCCCCACCTCCCTTTGTGTGAACATGAGACAAGTGCAACTAGCCAGTCATTTTTAACTTAAGTATTAAAATAAAATTGGAATAAAACATCGAATCCAAGTGCAGAGCCAGGTCAGGTAATAATTTGAGTGTAGGAGAAAAATTCATTTTTATTCCTCTTTACCCTGGGAAAATTCATTTCCTATGGAGTGTCCCTTTAAAGGTTTTATATCCACCAAATTAAAAAAAATATATAAAGCACCAAATCCAAAGGAGAATCAAACAATGATGCATGACTGATGAGAAAGAGAAAATTGCTATTTTCTTAAGGAAAATGTGATGTGGTTGTCATGGAAGAAGAGGGGCTAGGTGCTCAGCAGATATCTTTTAACATAATATCACAGAAGTAGAGTCTACTTCTATGATAATATCAATGATTTGTATTTTTTAGAAAAAATGCAAAAAAAACAGGCGGCCATCTTGGATTTTGTCCGTTTCCATGGTTACGCAGGCAATTGCCATTTCCACATCATGGCTAACTTTGACCAGCATACTCTGAGCTTTCAAATGATATATAATTCAGGTCTGTGTATCTAAAAGGGGACACTAAACTCCTTAAATAAAGCACTTTTGGGGGTTTTGCCGCTCACCTATTCTTTTTATTCTTTATATAAAGTGTTAGAAATTTACTTTTTCCAAGCCCATGAGGATTCTTTTTCTTAATTTTTTAGCATCTGTAGATGAGCACCCATGCAGTCAGTAGACGTAGTGCTTTTATTGCAGGCCTTAGGCAACTGCCAACAGCAGTTTTCTCAGACTACAGCTCTGGTCCTGCTACGTCAGCGGAGTTAGAGAGATGATTTGTGTGTTGAGGCAGGCTGATTGCAATGCATCACTTCCAGCTTCAGTTGGTGGTGGTGTGGGCTCTGTGAATGTGCCCAGCAATGAGGTCACTACGTTGTGACGGTTGTCACAACCAGACACAATGGACAGAGGGACATCTACTGCAATTGTTATGGCAATTTGGACAAAATGTGTCTTATCTTTTCTTGACAAATTTAACAATGGTACTATGGAGCTATAATTATAAATGACACATTTATGCACATTTTATTAATATATTTTAGTATTTTCTTTTTATTTGGGGTCTAATTGTAAAAAAAAAAAATTAAGCTAAGTGTGCGCTTTATTTATTCAATAATATTTATAACGTTGATTTTATTTGAACCTGAAGCTACATGCCCAAACTTGCCATCAGAAACAAGTCCAGTCTTGAAGCCCCAGATAAAAGGTGGAATGGAGAACTGCTCCCTCAAAGATGTGTGTTCCGCCCTCTGGTAAGTCATCTTTTTGATTAAGTTGTGATCCCAATTTTATGAAATTATCTTCATGTTTAATAAGTTAAGTAACATGCATATTTGTTTGGGGTTTCAGTTAAATGACCCTGGGGTGAAATTTTCACTATCCTTATGAAGGGTTTAGTAATCAAGTCTATCTGTTCACAGACATTAATATATGTCATAATCATATTTGATTTAATTCTGATTGGTTTGTATTGCACTTCAGAATAGCAATATAATGCCAACTGTACAATCTTTGAACTTACGGTGGTGATATCTATGTTCACACTAAATTTTGTGTCCTAATCTTTACCAAGGACAACATACAAGATCATCTATTGCTGTCTTTTAATCTATCAAGTGCAATTAATTGAAAAAAATTCTTTAAGACTATTCAATGGAAGCACCATTAAAGAGATAAGAATTCTGCGTTTTGGCAGGAAAAGTGCCATTAAACAGATTTTCCTGGAGTAAATGATGATGTTGCACCTATACATGTAACCAGTAGTTGATAAATGCATTCTAACATTCAAAGTCTTTTTTTCTGTATTAAATATCTCTTAAGAGATTATTACGGAAGGTATCCATCAACTCCATGTGGTTGTTGTTGTTTACCCCAGAAAAATATTTTTTGTGACATTTTTCCCTGCCAAAATGAACAGTTGTTATCCCTTTAATTAATGAGAAACTAGCATTATTAAAAGGGTCAGTCCCCAGTATGTGCAATGTGTCCCAGAAACAAATCATGATAATACCCTCATTACCTCCCCCACAGTGATACTCCCCCACACCATTACCGCTACTCTACCTTGTCATTTTTAAATGATTAGCAAATTTTGTCACATTTGGGCCTTGGTAATTACAGAAAGGTTTCCAAATTAAGAATTTGTTAAATGTCACATTTTTACCAGTGGGAGTAATGATGTGGGGGAGAAACAGTGTGTG